GCAGTAAAATACTCACTTGCATCAAATTTACTCTCTGAGGGCTTAAATACCTCCAGTGTTGACATTGTGTAAAGAAAGATTAATTTCTTCGTGAACGGAAGAAAGATCTAGGGAAGTGTGAGACTTAATTGTTAATGCATTCATGCGTTATTAAAAATTAAAATTCTCCCCTTGCAGGGTTTCGTATTTGTGGTATCACACAGCCATCATGTGATATACGGATGAGTTGTTTTATAATCATATCACGAATTTCAAATAACCGTCGTATCAATATTAATTTATCGTTATACGTACGTACGTACTGTACGTACATATGTACCTACATATTAAAATCCTAAAATATATATCGATATATACATATATTGTATATATAAAGGAAGGTCGGGTATTATGAGTAAAAGTCCTCATAAAAGGTATATTTATTTCTAAAATTCATTCAAATAAACTAATATTCGACTTAATTATTGACAAACAATAGAAAATTTTTTTTGCTTAAAAAAACTTGACATCCAGAACTTCTAAAATCTGTATGAAAACTTGTTTTTTCGGTGGGAAGGTACAGGTACGTACGTACGTACGTATTTTGGGACGCTCTGCAAATCGGAAAATCGATATTCATATTATGCAGATAACGATAACCCTTTTTATACGTATTAGTACTTTGCTGATCTCCCCCCGAAATTGCTCAAATAGGAAAATAAATAGCGTAATACGTAGCTACACTACGATATCTAATTTTTCCTCAAGTCATGGTCAGAATTGATTAATTTTTTGTATCATTCGATTCGTCTCAGTAAAACGAATCGATTGGTACTAAAATTGTTTAATTCTGATCGTTATATCGCAAGATATCGCCGAAAAATGTTAACTGTATCACAATACCTCCACCATAATACTCTCCCTTATACGTATCGATTTATTTAAAGTTTAAGATATAAATTATAAATGGTAATCTGAATAGTACGTATTTGCATGGCGCGCAGTACTTACGTATCGGTAATAATTCTTAACACTAATGGTATATAACATTTGATCAGTATGGTTATATAAAAATATATAGCGATGGGTATTTTTTACACCCCTATGCCAGTCACCAGATAATTCATTGAGTATCGATATATAATTGATATGTACGTATAGTCCTAAATTTGTCAACTCGACTAAGCCGAAAATTAAAAAATTGGCTTAGCTGGTTACGCAAAGTCGAGTGCCCGTATATCGATATAATTTTCCCACTATCGTAAAAGTGAAACAGCCAGGTTGATAATTGACGTCACTGCCGCAGCAACTGCATCTGGTTGAATTAGTCACTTGGTCCAAACCTTATATTCGAGCTATAGCAATGGTTACATATATAAAACTCGAACACGATTTAAACCCGAACTTAGGGGGGCGCCCTGACGATTATCCAATTCTCCTAGATCATCTGACAATTTCTTAATAATCAAGAATTGACTAAGGGTGTTCTCAACAAATGTCTAAAATTCGAATTTGCAAATCATCGGATTTTTGAAATTAAACGATTTGATTGGATCCGCACATTCTAATTTTAGACACCGAGTTCTCGAGCATCCCTCTCAACGTAATTGGCTAGTAATTGAGATCTTGCACAAACACCACGATTAATTAAATCTTCATAGCAAATTTGCTTAAGGATAGATGGTATATACAGTATATCATTTTTTATATGATCTATATAGTATTTTAAAATTTTACTATAAAATTGTTATTAATAAAGCTTTTTCAAATTACAATTAATTTTTACCAAATTTTTATAATACTGTAGATAAAATTATTTACAGCATTTATTATCCCTTAAACTGTAGGTTTTTCCAGGCAAATTTGCCTGGAAAATTATTATAAATATGGTTATGATCTACTTTTTT